ACTAAAAAAACGATCAATTGGTAGAAATATTTGGGAAAAATTTTCTATATTTTTTTCCTGTTTCTATAACTCTAGTTTCGCATCATGATATTAAACATTCAATTGGAGATTCTGCTTTCAGAAGATGTTCATCATTAAAGCAAATTATATTTTCTTCTCAGACAATCAAAACACATAAATATCCGAAAAAAAGAGATAATAAGTGTCTTAAAAATCTACTATTCTCAATATAAATTATAATTTTTTTCAAATTAACTTGAAATGATTTTGGCCAAGACGATCAACATTTGAAATAAAATCAACATAAATTTTGAGTTAAAAAAAAAATGTTATTGGAAATATATTTTCATTGCCCATATTTTTTAATTTCATATTTGATTTAAGATATGATAGAACATTGGAAAATCTCTAGATATGTGAAATTAATTAATAGCACATACTCTCAATGAATAAAGATATTGATGATTCCAAAATTTAAAAATAGAAATTTTACATGATATTACCTCAGATGTTAATATTAAAATAATTCAAATTTTGAAACAAGTATATACATTGGAAGAGTCTCTATATAATAAAATATTTTGATATTTGAAATATATTAAGTATGAATTTATAGATGATTTCCAAATGTTAGTTAATTTTTTTGAGAAATTGATTAATTATTTGATAGTAGTTTCAAACTACTAGTTTGAAACTCATATTTAAAAAAAAAAAAAAAAAAAAAAAAAAAAAAAAAACATTTTTGTTTTTAAGTTGCCCACATAAACATTTTTAAAAATGATTCTGGATAATTTATTTTTTATTACAAATCTGAATTATGGATATGAATTTATAAGTATATTTAGTTTTGAACCTGAACCTGAACTCGAATTCGAACTCGAACTTGAACTCATGCTTAAACAAAATTCATTTTCAACAGGGCGTTTTTTCGTCATCCCTCTCTTATATCTGAAGAATGCAATCAAAAACAACGAAAGCACAACCAATATGATGATCAAAATTGTGATGATCAGCGCATAAAGAAGAGCAATTTCGTGGACTTCCTCTTCTTCAACAATTTTTTCATCTTGCTTCTCATGATAAATGAGCCAGCCGTCTCCGTTCATGCAAAGTTTCGTCCAGTTTGTCTCTTTCATTGTCTCTAACAGCATGTCTCGGATGAACAACTTATTATCCTTGAAATTATCATAAAATGAATCTTGATCCCATGCACAAATATTTTGGCTTTGTTTATGAAAATGGTTCCATTGCAAGGAAACCCAAGGAGTGACCTTCACATTTTGGTGCATATTAAGAAATGTTTGAATTAATGAAAAATTCCAAAAATTAACAAACTTAACAGTGCTGTTTCTTCTGAAGTATACAGAATCTCCGATCTGAAGCACATAGTCATCTATATCTATCTCAGCAACTGTATAATTTTCAATTATGAGTTCGCTATAGATCTCTGCACCGAAATAACCCAAGTCAGTCAAATTGAACGAAACCTGTTTTTTGTTGTTGCAAATTGCTTGTACAGTAGGATCAAAACTGATTTCAAGTTTTTGGCATGAAAAATCTGTATAGTTTGCAAGTGGTTCAAGTTGATTAATATGCGATGTGAAATTTTCGCCTTCTACAGGAGTGCTTTTAATAAGATGAATACAAAAGAAAAGCAAATAAAACATTTAAATTAAAAATTGAATAGAATAACGTTATTATTAATATGGTTTTTTTCAAATTTTTTAAACTTTTTGAAACTATTTATAATTTCAAAATATTCAAATGATTCTTCTTTTAATATATTACGTTCAATCACGTGTTATTTATGATTTACAATCAACAAGGCCAGAAAGCATGATTTTATTTCTTAATCAATTTGAATCTGTAGATGTCATGCTTCCAAATGAATCACTAACATTAATATCAAAATGGCATCATCATAAAGATCTTCTATTAGAAGTTGAAACAGAAGATAAAAATAAACAAATTGCAAATTATGGACCTTTTGACAAAGATTCACGCTTAGTTGGTATTTATATGGAAACAGTAAATTACTCTATCAAATTTGAAAATAAAGGACAAAGCAACATAAGTATTGCAATGAAATTTAATTATTATGGTTATAATAATTATATGTTGAGCTCAAGTAGTTTTTCAGATGAATATGAATTTGTAGAGTATAAATATTTTGATGATCTTAAGTTAACCAATTTTACATATGATGATAAAGCATTTGATTTCGTCAATGGGTTATATGTACTAATTATAGCATTATTATGTTTAGATATAATAATATCATTTGCATGGTCAAGCATGTGCTGCTGTTGTTGTCATTATAATAAAGTGGATTAAGGTTTTATATATTTATTATATAACAAATATTCTAATATTTTTATATATCAAATATTTGATGATAATATATTGAATTATACAGTTTAATAGATATATAAGCAATAATCACATTTTGTATAATAATACCGAATGAATTTATTATATGTAAATATATAGAATTGATTTTTTATTTTTATTTTTTGTTGGGCAATGAAATAACTTTTCAATTGAAACAAAATATATTTTATGAAAATTTTCATAAGTATTCAATTTGATTGAAATATTTCAAACAAATTCTAAGAATTCAAAATAAAAAAAAAATTGGCTTTAATGTGTGATTCCATTTTAATAAAAAACTTTTTTCTACAATTATTTGATATCGGACGATCAGCAGGCTCATTGATTACTGAAGCCTTAGGACTATTTCGCACTTTCCAAAAACTTACCGCATCCAATACATTCACAATGCGTTTTTCCGAAGAAAGTCTTAAGATGTTTAAGTGGGCAATTGATATATTTGAACTAATCAGGCATAAATTTTTTTTCAGGCCTTTTGATGATTATGATTTTTTTTATCTTTACAGCTGTATTATTCCACTAATGCTGATGACTTTTATATCAGCATTGTTGTCTGGGTATTCGTTTTATTCCTATCTTTTAGGTTATGGAATGATTTTCATGCTTGGGACAGGTTTATGCTTCATTGGTATCGACATGATTTGGGCAATAACTTTCTCTTCTTGTGGTGTTTTATACATCGTAATTGCTCTTGGCTGCGGGTGCGTTTTCCCATCGATTCGTTTTTTGACTAAAAAAGGAGAATATGACGAAAATGAAGAAAGAAAAAATATGGATTGTTGGTGCACATATTGTGGTTTTTGCTGCTGTAAATGCAATTCGAAATACAATGCAATTCAATTTACATATTCATTATCAAAATCATTATTATTAATGACAATATTTTTAATGCCAATTCTTCAAGGTAGTTACAAACTTACAGTTCTTTATGGCCTTGTTGTCTTAGGAATTCTAGTAATTTCAATCATTATCGAATCAATAGTAGCTCTTGTCAAATACATCAAAAAACATGTAGATTTCGACGAATTAACAAATGTTCCCAAATTCATTGATTTATGCTTAAGTTTTTTCTCATTATTAATTATCCCATCGACAGAACATTTCATGAACTTAGTTACAGGGAAATTCTACAACAACTGGAGATTGATCACATGTTACATATTCTACTCTCTAATTGTTCCACTCGGTCTAACGATAATAATGATTGCCATGAGATTCGACTCAATTCTAGGCAAATACAAAGATTACAAGATTGCATTTGTTTACATTTTTGAATTAGGAGACATTGTCAGGCAGATTGCCTACGCCATTTGTGCGTCATATGATATATCATACGCATGCATCGGATTGGAAGTTGCCTGGATTGTCCTCGTATTCGCATGCAGACCATTCCAGAGCAAAAGTGACTACTTCCTGCAGCTCGGTAGCTCTGCAATTCTCATCATAGAACTCACTGTCTGCATTGCACACGAGAAGAAGGGAAGTGGATTCTTATCGTTCAGTCTCACCTGTTTTTTGCTCTTCCTGGCATGCATCCCTGCCGTTGGGGCCTTGTACGTCTACTTCATCTTCGACTTTACAATAAATGAGGATGACGATGACCAAGAAGATGAAAAAAAAGAAGATGAAGTGAAGGCGTACAAGCTGGGAATGATCATTAGAGTTGTGTCGCCTGTCGCATGGCTGTTTCTACCGTTCCTTTTCTTCTTCTATTACTTCAGAGAGTTGCAGCCAAAGGGATACATGAGGTAAAATTTATTTATTTAAAAATTAATTTGTTTGATATCAAACATATAACTTTTTTAGAAGAAAAAATCGTCTTTTTTTGTTTGTTTGAGTTTTATTTTTTATAGAAAGAGTGTTATTTTAATGCTCAGACAAATTTTGAGTGTATATATAACTTAAACAAACTTTTTGAGATATATACATATTCTACTCTCTAAAAAAAATTTTTTTTGCTAAGAATAAAATCATTTTTTGCATTTTTATTTTCAAAATATTTTTTTTTGAAAATGCTTTTTCAGATAAAATACATTAGCTATATAGTTCATTTCATTTTGATGGGATAAAAACTCTGGCGATAAAAATAATTTTTTTTTGTTGTTGTTGACATCAATATTATCATTCATTAATAATAATTAAACATTTTCCATATTTTTATTATTAAAAGCACAATTTAAAACAGTTTTTTCTTTTACGGTCCCATTACAATTTGTTATATAGAGGCGTTTTTTATAAAATATGTTAGCATCAATTGTGGAATTTTACAATTTCTATATTTTCTTTTTGAGTAGAAAAATACAATGGTGTTTCATCATATTCCCATAACGCTCTATCTTCAGGATCTTGGAAATATACTTTTAACTTTGATTCAATATTAATATCAATCTTATCATTTGATAATAATAATTCAATAATGCCAATATTTTCATTTCGAATTGCAGTTTGGTTTCTTATTTTGATTCTCAAAATAACAAGCCTAATTAGCATAAACAAAATATAATAATCAAATGATATGATAGAATTGTTGTTAAGTTTTATTCTAATATTTTAGGAATGATATCAAATAAGATTAATAAATAAATAAAAGAATAAATAATAAATAAGGATGGCGATTGGTCTAGTGGTTAAGACGTCAGGATATTTACACAGCCCTGGATACCCGAGTTCAAATCCCGGATCGCTACTTTTTATTTATTTTTTTTATTCGTTTCTTTTATTTTCTTTTCTTTTCTTTTTAATTGTTTTTAAAATTGTTTTTCGATCTTTTAATAAATTAATAAATTAATTTAATAATATTGATAATTAACTATTTATTAAAGAATAAGAATTGTTCTTTATGGAGCAATTTATTCATATATCAGTGTATCATAAATATCAATTAACTGAAAAATTTGAATGTCAGAATTATTGAAATCTTTCAAAAAAAAAAAAAAAAATTTCAAAATTTTGGAAAATGAACTTTTGATGATATTTTGATATATCGATAAATTACTTCACAGAGATCAATTCTTATTCATTAATAAATGGTTATTTGCTAATATATATATATATATATAATAAATTAATTTAGTAAAAGATTGAAATCAGTTTTAAAAACAATTAAAATGAAAAGAAAATAAAATATAATAAAAGAAACGAATAAAAAATATAAATAAAAAGTAGCGATCCGGGATTTGAACTCGGGTCTCCAGGGCTGTATAAATATCCTGACGTCTTAACCACTAGACCAATCGCCATCCTTATTTATTCATTCATTCATTCATTCATTTATTAATCTTATTTGATATCATTCTTAAATTATTAGAATAAAACTTTTTAATAAATTCATCATATCATTTTGCAAATCCTCATATTATTAATATTAATATTTTGTTTATTCTTTTTATATATTTTAAAGTTAATAGGATTTCCTGTAATGATTAAACTTCTTAATTTGTTATCTTTTCCACCGTTATCACCACCTCCTTTGTTATCTTTATTTATCGCATAAAGACGATTTTGTTTGTCACATTCATAATTGTTGTAAGGGCCATGATATTCAATCTTACCTCCCCAGCCTTCACAATTGAATTGTTTGCTTGATTCTGCAATCAAAAGTTTTTCTTGATCAAGTAATCCTTGAGTTCGTTCTGTTATTATTATTTTATTAGGAATACTGTTTATTGTACCTTTAATTTGAGCTTCTTCTCTTTCATTCTGAGAACCACTGAATGAGCAATCAAGAGTAGATTGACTTAAAAGAACGAATTCATTTATTGAGAGGCTAGAAGAAGGAGCAATTGTAACTTTTCCTTTAATTGTAGCATTTTGAATCGTTCCTGAATTCGATATTTATAGATAAAACTGGTTTTGAAGCCTTGATTTTGGTAATTTTACTGAAGTTCCTTTAAACAAGCATGAATATTTAACAGTGCATTCTTGCAACTCTGTGTGTGGTCCAATAAATGATCTCCCTAATGACAATATCATTTATGATATTGAAAAGAAATTTATTTGCATTGGGAACTGTTAAATAATAACAAAATAAATATTATAATCAAACAATTCATTTCATTATGGAATTTGCTTTTTAAATAAACGTCCTTTTTTTTAAAAAAAAATGAGTTTGCGTGAAATATTAAAAGAGGTTCAAGGCATTCAAGCCAGCATTCTTGAATTCGTTGAGAAACAGATCGATAATGAAGAGCATCTTCAAATTTTCACAGATTTTTTTGAAAATCATCAAATATCTGATAATTATTTCTTATTAATTCTTAAGATGATTGCTCATATATCAAATTTTCATTATCGTAACAAGGATTTTATTTCAAAAATTGAGCAAATTTTACAATTTTTTAAAGATCAAATCAAAAAATGTTCAAATCAAACTATTTTCGATATTTTCAAATATAACAAAAGAATTATACTTTTTCTAATCAAAGAAAATATGCTGATTTTTGATGATAGAATTGTAAAACAATTAATGAAAATTACTTTCCGTAAAATGTGTTATCCCCAATATTTTTTCCCAGAAATCAAGCCTTTTCTTTCCCAAAAAACTTATCTACTAGAGTCTGATGACTATCATTCATCAAATGATATTAATGATCTAGAGTATGAACACACCATGGCGAAAATGTCTAAAGAACTTCCTGAAGATTTTGAAGAAAAAAGAAAAATTGGTGAAAATGATAATTATCTTTGTCAATTGATTCGAAATGATTCAATTGAAGAATTTTTAAATTATATCAAACAAAACAACATTTCTCTTTCATCAAAAGTCAGTCATTCAATATATGAAACCAATTCATTTTTGCTTTTTCATGATTATTTTGAAGAGAATACATATGAAATTAAAGAAATTCAGCCATATTTGATTGAATATGCTGCTTTTTTTGGATCAACTCAAATCTTCAAATATTTGCTCCTTAATGTCAAAAACGGAAGTAATTCCTTGTGGAAATATGCTGTTCATTCTGACAACACTGAAATAATCCATCTTCTTGAGGATTCAAAAATTGATTTTTCAGATGATGCTTACATCAAATCAATTGAATTCCATTCAAATAATGTTGCCAATTACATGAAAGATAAATTTAAAATGGAAGATTTTTTGAGTGAAAAATTGAAAAATTATAATTTTTTGCTCATTGATGAAAACGTTTTTTTACAAAAATCAACTCTTTTTAAATTATGTGAAATAAACCAAACATTTTTTGTAGAAAAATTCATTGAAGAAAAACAAATTGATATTAATAGCTTTCGATTGAAGCAATCTGAATGTGAATTGTCTTTTATTCACATAAATATTGAAAAAAGAAATTTGCCAATCATTAAATTATTAGTATCAAATGAACAAATCAACATCAATGTTTTAAGTAAAATTAAGAGAGAAGATAAAAGTGGCCTTTGTAATCCTGAATATGAATGGGATGATTGGCTCGATTGGGGTAATTTCTCTGATTGTTATTGGGTATCAATTACGCCATTACTTTATGCAATCAATATAGAAGACATTGATATAGTTAATCTTTTATTAGGAAGTAAAAATATTGATATTAATCTTTCATGCGAATTTTCTAGAAATTATGGGAATAATAATGAAGATCGAGCTGAAATTACACCACTTTATTATGCAGTTAAAAAAGAGAACATTGAAATAATAAATTCTTTGTTAGCAAAAGAAGATCTTGATATTAATCAAGATGTTACATTTAAATATGGCTTTAATGATGAAAATGGAAAAACGAAAATCGAAGTGCATAGAAGTCCGTTGCATTTTGCAATTGAAAAAGGAAACGTTGAAATTGTTAAACTTTTATTAAAGAGTAAAAAAATTGATATTAATTGTATAAAATCTTTTGAAGATTTTGGAAATGAATTTGAAGAATTGAGCATTAGAAATGAATCATCAAAACGAACTCCATTGCATATTGCAGTAACTAAAAATAATATTGAAATTATTAAACTTTTATTAAGCAATGAAGAACTTAAAATTAACGAATTTCAAATAATTAAAAAAAGCGATTTATTTTATGATGAAATTGAAGTATGGTTGAAAAATCCAAATTCTTGTAAAGTTAGTTCGAAAGATAATGTCAATTCATTTGAAAATGAAATGGAATCAAAGTCAGCATTGCATATCGCAATTCAAAATGGCAATGCCGAAATTGTTGAACTTTTGTTGTCCAATAAAAAAATTGATGTTAATCTTCATAGTGAATTATTCAGACAAACATATGAACTAGATTATATGAAAGATGAAGAAATATTACAGAAAAATACAGGATTACATATTGCAATAGAAAAGAATAATGTTGAAGTTATCAAACTTTTATTGTTCAATGAAAAAGTTAATGTCAATCTTCCAAGCTTGTTGACATTATCAAACTGTAAATTTGATGATGAAAAAGAGTTAAATGGGAGAGATGTTGAAAGCTTTCCATTACATTTTGCAGTTGAAAAAGGAAATATTGAAATAATAAAGCTTTTAATGTCAAATAAAAATATCAATGTTAATTTAAAAAATAAGAATGGTGAAAAACCAATTGATTTGACAACAAATATCAAAATTAAAAAATTATTCAATGAATAGAAATTGATATTAAGGTACAAATCTCATACGTTACCCAACCGCAATTTTTTTTGACATTTATTTAATTTTTCGACATGTTATATAAAAAATAAATAAAAAAATTTTTAATTGAATTATATAAAAAATAAAGTTCAGAAATCAAAATCTGACACCAATTGAAATTTAAACTTTTTCTGGGAGGGTGCTTTTCTTAAAATTTTAACGTGCCTTTTTTCAATTTTTAACGTATGAGATTTGTACCTTAATGCTTATTTCTTTTTTTTTTTTTTTTTTTTTTTTTTGAAAAAATGAATTAGATTTTACCTACTATTTTGAAACATCATTATTTGGTGGAAGTATTGATGAGATAACTGATGCAGTTGAAGAATTTAGGAAAAATTTGAAATTCAGATATCCAAATAATATTATAAAAAATAAATAAATGAATAAATAAAGATGGCGATTGGTCTAGTGGTTAAGACGTCAGGATATTTACACAGCCCTGGAGACCCGAGTTCAAATCCCGGATCGCTACTTTTTATTTATATTTTTTTATTCGTATCATTTCATTTTAATTGTTTTTAAAACTGTTTTTCGATCTTTTAATAAATTGATAAATGAATTTAATAATATTGATAATTAACCATTTATTAATACATAAGAATTGCTCTCTGTGAAGTAATTTATCGATATATCCGCATATCATTAAAAGTTCATTTTCCAAAATTTTGAAAAAATTTAATCATTCTTACATTCAAATTTTTCAGTTATCATAATCAATTAATGATTATTTATTTTCAAATAAATAAATAAATAAAAATCTCAAAGAAATTTATTGCCAACCAATTTAAAAGGACTATAAAATTTTAACACAAATTATATTATTCTATAATAATTGAATGAAATAATAATTGATTTCTTTCTCAAAAATTTTATAAAATTTTGGAAAATGAACTTTTTTTGATATACTGATATATGAATAAATTATTCCATAAAGAACAATTCTTATGCATTAATAAATGGTTAATTATCAATATTATTAAATTAATTTATCAATTTATTAAATGATTGAAAAAAAAAAAATCTTAGAAAACAATTAAAATGAAAAGAAAAGAAAAGAATAAAAAATAT